AATAGTGAAATTGAATCAATCATGAACAACCACACTTGGGAGTTGGTTGATCTTCCTCCGGGAAACAAAGCTTTAGGCTACAAATAGATTTTCAAAAAGAAATTGAAGTCGGATGGATCAATCGATAAATACAAGGCTAGACTAGTAGCCAAAGGGTATAGACAAAAAGAATGTCTAGATTTCTTCGATAACTATTCACCCGTGACAAGGATCACGTCTATACATGTCTTAATTGCAATCGCGGGATTGCATAGTTTAGAAATACATCAAATGAATGTGAAGACTGTATTTCTAAATGGTGAATTAGAAGAAGGTGTGTAAGCTTGTAAAATCGCTCTATGGATTAAAGCAAGCACTGAAGCAATGGCATAAGAAGTTTGATAGAACTATGATGTTAAATGGATTCAAGATCAACGAATGTGACAAATGTGTCTATGTTAAAACCACACCTAATGAATTTGTGATCGTTTGTCTATATGTTGATGATATGCTAATAATGGAAAATAACTTAAATGTCATTTCCTCGATGAAGAAAATGTTAACGAAACATTTTGACATGAAAGATATGGGAGTTGCAGATGTCATATTAGGGATTAAAATCTCTAAGACGCACAATGGATTGTCATTGTCTCAATCACATTATATTGAGACTATACTTAAAAAGTTTAAGATGTATGATGATAACCCTATTAAGACACCAGTTGATTTGGGAGTACATCTAGCCAAGAATACCGGTAAGCCCGTATCTCAATTGGAGTATGCACGCGTTATAGGCAGTTTGATGTATGTTACTAACTGTACGCGTCCGGATATAGCATACATAGTCAACAAATTGAGTAGATTCACAAGTAATCCAAACTCTATACATTGGAAGGCATTGAACCGAGTTCTTAGATACCTAAGATATACGGTCAATTATGGATTACACTACTCAAGATATCCTGCGGTGTTAGAAGGATATACCGATACAAATTGGATATCTGACACGAAGGATTCAAAGTCTACCAGTGGTTATATGTTTACTATTGGAGGCAGAGCTGTGTCTTGGAAATCATCTAAGCAAACGTGTATAGCTCGATCCACGATGAAATTCGAGTTTATTCCTTTAGATAAAGTCAGCGAAGAAGCGGAATGGCTTCGTGATTTCCTTGAAGAAATTCCATGTTGGGGAAAATCGGTACCAGCAATTAACATACATTGCGATAGTCAATCTGCAATTGTAAGGGAACATAATACCATGTATAATGGTAAATCTTGACATATACGTCGGAGACATAATACCATTAAATAGATATCGAATGGTATAATCTCTATTCAATATGTTAGGTCAAAAGAGAATTTGGAGGATCCTTTGACGAAAAGACTTACTAGAGATCAAGTATACCATCTTTCGAGGGGAATTGACCTAAACCTATCGAATAAGAATTTATATGGTGGAAACCCAACCTTGTAGATTGGAGATCCCAAGATCTTGGTTCAATGGGACAACTAAGTCATAAACGATTCGGGGTAAATCACTTATTCCCATTCCTAAAGTGTAAAAGTACTATAATAAGCATGTATGAGGATAAGTGAAAAACTTTTAATGATTCATGTACCTTGAAGAAAAAAGGTGGGAGATTACCTATATAAGTGTGAAGTGAAGCCGCTTCTAAAAGAATTTTAGGCTTAATTCTCCGAAAGCACTTATGAAACCAAGAGTTGTTCATGGCCACAATGGACACAATCATGAGAGGTGTTGGTACAATTGCCTGAATTTACACGAGCGGCTGGATGGTTCAACACATCACCGTTCACCAACTAGCTTAGTAAATTCGATTGTATTCAACTAAGGAAAGTTCAAAGTCACAAGCCACCTATCATGATGCTATGACTTATCGTACGAACTCTGTTGTTAGAGTCTGCATTCATTTGCATTTGTTGTGCATATCGCGAAATTTCCATTCATGTGGGGGATTGTTGGAAATTGGTTTTGAAAGATTGAAATTTGGTTAAGTGATAACATCAAAACTTGAAAAGTGACTTTCATGTCAACTTCGGCCAAATATTCGGACTTGATCCAATTGTCAAATTATAAAAGTAAATAGACTAACTTGTTCTACTCGTCGAGTAGATTGTCATGGTATATTTGGAATCTCAAAATCAATTTCGGATGAATGAGAAATTGAGGTCCAAAGTTGGGAAGAAAAATAGAGGAAGCTGTCTGAAAATTTGACTAAGGTTGTTGCTAGCTTATGGTTGGACTGTCGCACGAGCGATAGGCCAGCTAGCTTGAGCGATAGTCTAGCAATAAGCTAACTAAAAAGTCTCTGCTTTTATTGCTCGAGCGAGGCGATGGCGACGGTGAATGGTGTGACCTTTGACAAGAGTTGTTGAGTCTAAGGCGTGACATTTTATTCACAACCCTTCATCCTCTAAATATAGGACCATATGGACGTCCCTATTTTCACATCAATGATATGCAATCATATAGCATTCATTTTTCTATTCTTTCTCAACCTAAATTCTTGCATTCTTGTTGCTTAAATTCTGGTTTCTTCACTTTGCATTCCGAAGTTCGTAGACCAAGTTCTGGTTCGCCGTTTCTTGTGTGTTGAAGTGCTACTCACACAAGAAGATATTCATTGTATCTTGGGAGTTGATTGCCATAAACCGTAGGCACTGTTGCGGCAAATTCGACTTTAGGAAAAAGTGTTCAACACTTGCCTCGACTTTGATATTATTGATGTTATACTGTACATTTGGAGGATTTATTTGGAGTCCATTTCCTACTGTTACTTTGCCGAAATTTCTACAGAATTTTAAAGGTATTTCCCAGCGTTGTTTGTCACTCCATACACGATATTTTTCCAACACTTTCAAAGGTAAATCATGCAAATATGAGCTACAAAAACATGCTTTCACCTCTTGTAATCCACAACTTTTCCTTTTTCTGTTAATTTAAAAGCCCGATGGCTTCTTTATAATTTATATTGTGACACTAGAGTAAGCCCTTGTTTGAGGTCCATTAAAAATGTATTTTTAAATAGTAATATTTTGAAGAATGAGTAATTTAAAAATTAGGAATTTTTTTTGATTTGCGTGTAAGATTATTTTATTGAAGAATGTATGGTTGAAAATAAGAATGAAAAAAAAAAGTATTTTTGGAGAATGGAGGCCAAATAGGGGCTAAATTTTCAAAATCTAAATAGTTCATATAGAATTTATTCACGCAATAAGTTGGAAGTACTCGTATTAATTTGTTCAACGGAAGACAAAACTATCATCATTAATAATAGTTTCAACTAAAGAAAGTATTGTTGACATAGTTCACTTTCTTTTGGCAAGTCTAAGGGGTTTCAACTCCTTTTAGTTGCATCAATCTTCTTAAGAACAGATGCATCTTCCTCTTCATTGTTGAGCCTTTAGGCCAAACTTCTTTGTTGGATCAATGGTGTGGGTAACACCTGAAACTTTGCTCTTCATGATAATTTCATTGAAGAAAAGAAAATATGTTCATTTGGACAACACAGGGTGTCTTTACAAGTATAATCACAAAAAACATTTAATGGAATAAATAATCAATGTCATAAATACCTTTGATACCTGATGAAATCATTAATTATCGATGATGCGTACGAAATTACCAACAACAATACATCAATGATTATTGATGCATACATGTCCGCAATTATCGACAATATTGTTTCCGTGATGTCGTCAGATATCATCGACGTTACTTTAGTCGTTGATTGCCAAAAAAAGAAGTATCTATTTTTTTTTCATTTAGTTGTTGCTTTATTTTTGTTTTTATATAAAAATAAGAGAAAATAAAGAACAATATAAGCGAATTCAGAAACAATCAAAATTTCCGTGTATTTTATTGAGAATTAAAACTCTATCTTAATAGGGTATTAAGCCTGTAGGGATACAATTGTTATTCAAATATTATTTAATTTACAACATTCTATTTGAATGACTAATTATAGGACATATGCATCGTTAAAAATATTATTTATCAAAAATTCAATAGGACAAAATACCAAAAAAAAAAGGAAGAAAAAAAGTGTATAAAAAAACTTGGAGCAAATAAATACAATGTTATCCTTAGTTTTGAGAAAAGCGTGATCACATGACCAACTTTTAGATATTTTCATTAAAAAAATGTCAATCAAATACCCCAAAAGTAAGAAAATCTTGGTATCAAACTTACCCTTAATGAAAATCTTTGTATCAATATGTTCCATAGTTGTCATGTTTTAATATTCAAGCAATATCATCTCCATGCAAGATATTTATTAATCCTTGATAATTGCAGTCAACATGATGATTTGGATAAAAACAAATATTTTTGTTGCTTTTTAGGAGTCTCGTATATTTATGAGAATTTTATGTCGATGGCTGATATTTTATAGGTTAAGAATATTCATTACACAGAAATATGTATCGTTAAAATCTTAATATCATTAGAATCAATTAGTTTCGAATCACTTCAAGTTAACAAATGACTCTCGAATATCAAATGAATGTCATTTCATTTTTCATATAAAAAAATCTCTTTTCTACGTAAGTTGATTAATAAACAACTAATAAAAAAGAATTATTATTAATAAATTGGGCCGGTGATTATCCGCAGATTCGACCCAATTTATGGTCCACACTACAAGAACAGTTTCTTTGCTTGGTCGGCAAGTTGAATTTCATTTGCAGAAGTCACTCCGCAGGCGATTTTTATCAGATCAAACGAAGAAAAAGGAAAGTTTTCAATGGCTACCGACAGTGAAGATGCCGTCCGCCGAAAGACGGCAGTAGCCGAATACCGGAAAAAGCTCCTCAGCCACAAAGAGCTCGAGTCTCGAGTTCGTACCGGTCTGTTTCTTAAACCCTAGATGGATTCTAATTCTCTATGATTTTAAATTGCTTCCATAAACAGATCGAAGTAGGTGATTTATCTACGTATTTTGTATTTACGCATCTACGTGTGGGTTATATTAAACGTGTCTTAAGTGAGAGCCTTTGAGATTTAGGTTTGTGCTGTTACTTTGCGGAGCCACGATGAGCGGTTTTTATGTGCATTGGAGAACAGGGCTTCATTTGGTTACTGTTCAACTCTGACACAGGTTATAGCCGGACCTTTTAGGGTCTGATTAAGATTTTTACTGAGTTTCTTTGTTTGATGTTGAAATTACTAATATTAACTATATGAAGTTTGGGTCAGATGAGGATATGTGTTCCTGGTGGGCATAACTCGAAGGAACTGTGTTACCTTAGCTGTATTCTAATTCAGGTTAAGGTTTGTTGTGCACTAGTTTCAAAATGATTGAGCCATGCTGAAGAAATTAACTGAATTAAGTGTTGAAGTCAATAATTGCTAATTAGGACTGTCAATCAGCCCAAGCTGTTGCAAAGCTCGGAAGCTTAGCTTGGTAATTTTCAAGACCAAAGTCTCATATCATGTTCAATTTCAAGTTGAAGCCATAGCAGGCTCAGCCTAAGTTAAGCTCTCGTATTTGGATACGTCAATATTGGAGTATTGTATATATAATTACGCATAGATTTTCTAATAAACATCTGCTGTAACTTATCCGTGAAACTTAAAAACTATAGGTAAACGGAAGTAAATTTCGTATTTGAACAGTATATTTACTTTAGCCCTTGGAACTTGCGATGAGGTATGTAGAGTTGATACAGCTGTCTTGTAAATTTAGGAGGAGGACAGGTTAGAAAGCTTGCACCTGGCCCATAGCTTTTATTTTAATTTCCTAGCAGAGCTTGCTTTTAAATAAAAAAGTTTGTGGCAGTTCATGCATTGAGGAGATATAGCTCATGAAGATTCAAGGCTTGTATGAGAAAATTGAAATTTAATTCCCTTGGCCTTCCTTAGGTTGTCAATTGAACCAAGTCGTCCATTGGTCAGTTTCTCAACCTGCCCATTTAGATTTGCTGAGTGTTGAGTGAATATGAGCAATTTGCAAATGAGCTGTAGTATGAACCATGCGTAAAAGAGAGTGGGTAGCGAGCGAGTTACTAGTTTAGTAGCTATTTATTTCTTGTTTATGGAATAGTTTGGGCCTAAAAAATTCAAGTTCAAGACTATAATTTTAGTGATGGTACATTTTCTATAACAGAGAACAATTGCATGAAAATCTTCAGATTTCGCTGATTATATGGTTGTGACTTGGGATTACCTGAATTGTTAGTCATACATTCAATATTCAAATTGGATCTGTCCTAATGCCTATAGGGAAATAGCTTCCAACATATGTTTGGAACTGATTATATTTTTAACTATGGGCCATTTATATTTTAGTCACTATTAGGCATGTGATGGGGAGTGTCTATTGATGCTGAGTCGACGTTCAACATTGATTAACCTCTGTTTTGTAAGTGGCATGTGACAAGTACTGGCTTATTAAGTTACACATCCCAAATGCAACAATGGATGCTATATCTGCTTATGATTATTTTTATTTGTCAGCTTGCTTTTGCCATACTCTGTCACTATCTATATTGATGAATTATAATGAATTTAAAATCGTGGCCCTGATTATGATAGTTAAATATTTCATACCATTATCACATCTTGATCTTAAAACTCGTGCAGCATCTATTCCCTTTTCATCTGCACTGTTTTAGTGTTTTTCCCCTCTAATTGCAGACAACCCATCTGATTTACTATTTTGTATATATTGACTTTTATTAATTCTGATGTTATCTTTTGATTGATGACCCGTAATCTCTGCATAATGATGAATCAGAGTTTGAATTATTTGTTTTAAGTTGTTTGGTTATACCTTATAGCTAAATGACTGAATAAACTATATAATCTTTATAGTTAGGGAGAGTTTACGAGCTACAAAGAAAGAATATGCTAAAACTGAAGATGATTTGAAGTCACTGCAGAGCGTTGGACAGATCATAGGAGAAGTTCTCAGGCCCCTGGACAATGAGCGATGTAAGAATTCTGTAATCCTTTTACCTGCATTCATTTCCATAGAACCACATTGAGCATGTTAAGCCCCCCATTACACGATAAGTAGGAAAGAAGTAGCTTTAATGTGGGCTATCCATGATCTTTATCTAAAAGTTTAAGTATTAGATGTGAGACTGGTTCATTTATTTTAATTTTGTCTAAAACATGCCCCCGTCGCATACAGGCTCGATTCTTTTTTTTCCCCCCTCTCTTTTTAATCGCAGGCCTCATCTGTGCGCCATTTAAAAAATGGATGACGGTGTAACTTGAATCCGGATCCACCCATTTAAAAGAAACAGTTATATTTAGATCAGACTTGTTAGTCTCCAAGTTGATTATGCAACAACTTTTTGCCCTTGTAATCCTTCTTAACTTAACTTCAGAAAATCATGGAGATAGAAATTTATTGATCCTGCAATACATCATTACAAAGTCTTAGGTTTAAGTGTCTTGTGGCGTATGTATCAATCGTACGCCTGTTTAATTATACAGTTTGGTAATTTGACTAATTGACACCATCTGTTGTGTCAGTGATAGTCAAGGCCAGCAGCGGCCCAAGATATGTGGTTGGTTGCCGCAGTAAAGTGGACAAAGAAAAACTTACAGCTGGCACTAGAGTAGTTCTTGATATGACAACTCTCACTATTATGCGAGCGCTTCCTCGTGAGGTATGCTACAATTTGATCAACTACACTGATTCTGGGTTGTGTCGGTATAATCTTGTACATAAAATGTCCTCCTTGCACCCAAGTTCTTTATGTATTGCATCTGAGACTATTGTAATCTTCATCTGTCATATCTTCATCTGTCATGAATGAAAAAGAAAGATGGGTATTCCCATGGTAAGAATAGGACAGTTGCATTGAGGAAGAGAGCTAGGGGAGGAGATTGGAGCCTCTAAAAGCACCCACCCGTGTTACCGTTTTCGGAAGTTCTTCCATCAGTCAGTGGTTGGGCCAGACTCCGTTTGTTTGGTTCGACTTTTCTGACATGAGTATTTGATGTATGCTGCAGGTTGATCCAGTTGTATATAACATGCTTCATGAAGATCCTGGGAATGTAAGCTATTCTGCTGTAGGTGGGCTGTCAGACCAGATTCGAGAACTAAGAGAATCTATAGAACTGCCTTTGATGAATCCTGAACTCTTCATCAGGGTTGGCATTAAACCTCCCAAGGTAGTAGCTTTCTTGTAGCATGGTCATTATGATTGTTTTATATGGTTTACATTGTAGTCAATGCCATGTTTATTTGTTTTAGGGCGTTCTTCTCTATGGGCCTCCAGGAACTGGCAAGACTCTATTAGCAAGAGCAATTGCTAGCAATATAGATGCCAATTTCTTAAAGGTAAGAAGATAACGTTACCTGTGACTCGTTGCAATGGTTCATTCCTTTAAAGGTCTCTTATCCACTTGAGCAAACTGTTAGGACTTACGAGTTGCAACTATGCAGGTTGTATCGAGTGCTATTATAGACAAGTATATCGGCGAGAGTGCAAGATTGATCAGGGAGATGTTTGGGTATGCCCGTGATCATCAAGTGAGTGATCGCACAACGTGATTCTTTTGTATATCAGATATTTTATTATTGGCATACGCATTTTAGAAAATGCTCTATTGAATTATTTTTGTGTGTGAAGCCATGTATCATCTTTATGGATGAGATTGATGCCATTGGTGGACGTCGGTTCAGCGAGGGAACAAGTGCTGACCGTGAAATACAAAGGACACTTATGGAGTTGCTTAACCAGCTTGATGGGTTTGACCAGCTTGGAAAGGTTTCTGTTTGATCTTTCTCATATATGCCCATGCTTTACAGGGATTGAAAGCATCATTACTTCAATGATTGCAATGGAAGATGCAATTTTTGTGTGTGAATATACTAGTTTTGACCATATATGCTGAATTTTGTGGGCAGGTAAAAATGATTATGGCGACAAACAGACCTGACGTTTTAGACCCTGCACTTCTTCGTCCTGGTCGGTTAGACAGGAAAATAGAAATACCACTTCCAAATGAACAGTCGAGAATGGAAATTCTGAAGATCCACGCTGCTGGAATTGCCAAACATGGTGAAATTGATTATGAGGCTGTTGTCAAACTTGCGGAGGTGACCTGTGGATGCTTAAAACGACCTTTATTTTTTGGCACATCCTTCAAAATAAGTATTAATAACATGTTTCTTTGTCCAGGGTTTTAATGGGGCTGACCTTCGTAATATTTGTACTGAAGCTGGTATGTCTGCAATCCGTGCAGAGCGTGATTATGTTATTCATGAAGATTTCATGAAGGTAAAGTCATCTGTAGTTGCCTGATTTGTATTTCAGTTTCCAATATATTTTTGGAATGGGTTTTGTAATAGGAAAAATATTTATGCCACGTACACTTACCATGCTTTATTACACACTAGAGTATATGTGTGTGTATCAAGTACCCGAGTAGAAGACTTAGGGATTCGGGTCGTTCTTTTACATTGAATATTTCCTTCCATCTAAAAATGACTGGCTTCCTTACTAATTTGGGTTTTCTCCAAGTGAACATGAACTTTATGACATTTTCTCCAAATTACTTGTTTTTGGACTTACAGATAACAAAAATTAATGTACTTCTCCCTTAAAAAAAACCTGATGCGGTGCTCTCTCTTATTCACACGTACACACTACCTGGTCCTCCTCCACTCGCCAACACCTGCCCTGCAACACTAAATCTTCTAGCCACAAGATCCTGGTCACCACCATCCAAACTCAAGATTGTCACATATTTGATTTCGTGGTGTTTTCAGTTTGATTTCATATGTTTATTGGGTTCGGTTTCTGTAACCAATCACTGTTTCTGCCTTCTGGATTCAATATTATTATTGATTGGCTTTAACCATATATCACTGTTTGTCTTCCTGAAATCTGAATGGTAATATGATAGAACTTTCAAGTCTTCATGTTATTTAGTTCCACAGTTATTAGATGGTGCACTTGTTATTCTCTCTAAAGAAGAGAAATGAACTTTTCTTTCACCCAACAATTTTTCAGGCTGTAAGGAAACTGAACGAAGCAAAGAAGCTGGAATCAACTGCACATTACAATACTGATTTTGGGAAGGATTAAGAGATTTAGTTGGTTCAATCAGGGTTGACATCGATAACTGTTGTGAGGATCGATTTACATTTCAGGGAATTCATATTGTGTGCACCTTTCAGCGGATATTATTCGTCAATTCTAGTTATCGTTTGTATCATGTTTGTTAATCTTTTCAATCTAATAATTATATGTTTTGAACTTTTGGCATACATGGACCGTGTTCTTCTCCTCTCTGTTTTTTCGTTATATAGGTTGATCTATTTTCTGTTTGAAGGGGTGATGCGTCAAGCTGGATATTATGCCAAATGCTGTTATAGCATTTCTTGACCTAGGTGCAAATTAGGAGAAAATAAATGCTATATTCCCCCAATCAGCGCAGTTCCTTCTCTCAATCTCAGAAGCAGTCTATGTTCATTGCGTAGCTGGGCAATAGACTACTGGAAAAATTGATTACTACCAATTACCGAAGTTATCCTTTGAAAAATGATCAACACAAAAATGCAAAATCAGGTCATTTATAAATTAAAAAAAGGTCAATTTCAATAAGATTGATGTGTAGCATTTTTGGTATATCTAAAACAATATTTGCTCTTATTTTATTTTTTACTTACAATTTTTCAGATCAGATGTTAACATAACCAAACATTGTAACCAGTGATGGAACATATCGACAGTCGCTAACATTGTAACCAAACATGGTCATAATGCACTAGGTGAAGGAAAATATTTTATCGAACCATTTACCTGTTTAAAATTTAATTTCTTTTATAATGTTGGACAGATGTAGAAGGTGGATTATGGGGAAATGATTTTAAAATTCATAAACTCTTATCGCATGAAAGTTAATTTTTCTCTCCACGTTTAGGATTATGATTGATTTTTGTCCTTATATCTCACTTAAAATGGTAACATAATAATTACAAGTGAAAGTACAAACATTATGAATTGTTTAATAACCAAATTCACCAATTGAAATATGAGTGATGCTACAGGTACATCAGAGGCTACATAAGGGTGTCCATAATGGACACCCGGTGCCTCCTCATTGGAGGGATGGTTGGTGAGGTCGACACTCCATCCAATGGGAGGGCGCCGAGTGTCCATTATGGACACCCTTATGTAGCACTTGATGTATAAGAAGAATAACTCTTGAAATATTACTCACCTAGTTTATCAAAAAAAAAAAAATAAGAAGAATAACTCTTGAAATATTACTCACCTAGTTTATCAAAAAAAAAAAATTAATAGTACGTTTGGGCATAATTATCCCATAATAAAACTTATTCAACAGAATCCAGAAAAGAATAAAAACCCAACAAAGTCAAAACACCAAATGCATAAAAAATATCTCTAAATTAGATGGTTGACTGCTATTCAAGGATTTTAACTTGCTGCCATATATAAAAAAAGTAATGATATATAACCTTACTAGAATTAGAACCTTAGTTTAAGAGGGTATTTGGTGATGATTAAAATGTTAGATAGAATAACAGTAAAGTGCAGAAAAACTTATCAATAGATCGTGTTTCGTGACAGCACGATGTCCTAAAGCGAAATTACCCCCGTCTATAACTGCTGCAACTTCTGTGGACGATTACCTCTAAGATACAATGATCAAATAAATCAATTGTGCAACAATCACAAATAGTTTTCAAAACTCTCAAGTGCACTCTAGAAAAACGGTAATGGGTTGTTAATATTGAACAGTTAAAAACGGTCATATTTTACTGGCTAGTTGACCCATTAAATAATTCTGAAAATGATTAAATAATAATAATAATTATTATTATTATTAGAATCAACAAAGCTCAAGACCCTAATGCTCCAAGGCTCCAATCAAAGACCTTTTAATATAATGCGTGAGG